TGGGGGGCAACCATGAAGAAGGTCCTAAAACTGAACATATACACCATATTTCCTTATCACCCCTACAATTTACCCCAATCAGCCCCACATAGGTGGTTCTCAAATTTATTGGTCACTTTAGTTAGTTTTTTTCAAGTTAGCTAATAGGATCCCAGCCTGGGCAGCAATCATATTAATGAAAATACATAGCTTATGGTATAAAAACTGGCATTTTCTCATGCCAAAATCTAAAACAGCAAAGAACCAAGCAGAGAGTATTTCTCTGTGTAACACTCAGCTATTGTTTAATAGCACATGAATGAGCCTACTTGAGTTCTGAGTGTACACACTCTTAGATCCCTCCAAGTTTGGCTAGGGATGTAAAAACAAAAAAAAATCTCTAATTTTTAATGCAAAGTATATCAAATCAGCCCAAACAGGTTGTATAAGAGTAAATATGGTCAATCTTCATGTGATTGTTCACACTTCAGGATATATTTTTTTTGGAGGAGTGGGGAGGATAATGTTTATGTGAAAAAAAAACCTGGTGACATGCTCAAAATAAATATTCTGTCCCAGAATACAGTCTACTCCCCAAGTTATGCAATACCACTCCCACCCCGATATTCTCTGTAATTGTTTTGCAAGAAAGTTCACAAATGCCAAAGTCATTGACAAAAAGCACAAGAGCTTTCTGTATCTTGCTCAACTGGGAGAAATATTTGGAATATGTCGTTCTGATGTACAAAAATGAAATAAGTGGAAGCTTGTATTCCTACCTCTTGCACAGCTAAGGTAAAGGTGAAGGTTTTCCCCTGACATTAAGTCCCGTCATGTCTGACTCTGGGGGTTGTGCTCATCTCCATTTCTAAGCCAAAGAGCCGGTGTTGTCTGTAGACACCTCTAAGGTCCTATGGCGGGCATGACTGCAAGGAGTGCTGTTACCTTCCCACTGGAGCAGTACCTATTGATCTACTCAGATTTGTATGTTTTCAAACTGCTAGGTTGACAGAAGCTGGGCCTGGCAGCGGAAGCTCACACTGCTCTCCAGATTCGAACCTGCTAACTTTCAGTCAACAAGTTTAGCAGCTTAGCAGTTTAACCCACTGCACCACTGGGGGCTCCTTGCATAGCTACCAAGACCAAATCATTTCAGACTCTTCTGAGATCACAGACAAATAGTGCCCACAAAGTTTCTAGTGAGTTATCTTTCTAAGCATGCCTGAATACATTTCTAAAGTTAAATATTAAAGAACAATTTCCACAATTCCAATGTTTGCAGTACAGTTAAAACTACCCACTCTTTTCATATAGAATTTGCCCTCAAATAAATTGTTTCTTCCAAGCTATTATGAATTACATCTAAACAAATACCACAAGGTATATTCCTATAGGACTTTTTTTATGAATTCAAATATTCAGTCTATTAGCAAATTTCACATTACTAATACAATCCAATGTCACTGCCAAAGCAGGGACTTTTCTCTATTCACAAATTGTGTTAAGGTCCTTAGGCTCAAGGAAAATAACAAAATATCATAGTACTGAAGTCAAGGGGAGAAGCCTTTCCCCTTTCCAGACTTCACAAATAGAAGGACACTTGTCAACAAGCAAGATCAAAATACTCGTATGCAGGATAATACATCCTTTCATTCATTGACATTAGCCCTGAAAGAGCCCAAAACATCAAAGTGTTGAAGGAGATTGTTCTTTTCCTTTTATTTCTAGGTTTCTTTGATATTTTAATATAGAAATAAGGACATTTTAACTAATGTCACAAGGTGAAGAGGAATAGTAGCTAGTAGCCTATTGTGAAACATTCTTAAAAACTGTCCTTTCATTAATTTGTCTCATCTCAAAAAGAAAACTGTACTGCATTGATTTGTAGTCCTTGGTGAAATCAAAGAAAAGTATACCTGTCAATACAGAGATCTGATCCCTCCACTTCCGCTTCACCCGCTCTACTCTGCACAGAATAATAGTAAAGAGTAGACTAATGTGTAGTATTTGTTTCATTTAGGTATTCGTTTTGTACCATCCATTTGGAAGGCACAAAACAAAAGACCCATTTTCAGATGAAACAAAAGGTGAACGGTGCACAGTACCTGTTTCTTTGCTTGGTTTTTGGGCCACATGGCTTTGTTTGGTTTTCGGGTCACCCAGGGAGTTCTTTCACATGTGTAAGAGGACAAAGAGGAGGTGTTTGGGCCAATCAGAGCCCAAGAAAACAGTGATGTCTCTAGGCTATAGGTCTCCTCTGCATATGCAGAGGGAAACCTCTCAGAATCAGTGGGATCTTAAGCCCTGCCTGTCAGGACCCAGAAGCCTTAAACAATGCCAGACACAAAATAAAGGTTCAAACACAGCTTTATTGCATAAAAATGGACCAACAAAGCACTTAATTTCAGTGCTAAGGGTCTCAGGAGTGATTTGGCATCAAAAAGAAGTTGGTACTAGAAACAAAAATATAATCCAGATTATAGTGCTGCCTTATAATTTGAGTTAAACAAAAGGTTAAGCAAACTGCTTGAAAATCGAAATGGCACAAAAACAAAGCAGGAAAAACGTGGTTTCAAAACTAAGAAATGTTTCAGTCACAAAGATATTAGAGTTCAAAGTCCAGAAAAGCCAAAAGCGTAGTCAAACCGGTCCGTGGTCAATCCATAGGTAAACAAAGGCTGGAACGCTGGAATCACCGAGGAAACAGTTCAGGAACACACGAAGCTGTAGCCCAGGACCCAAGGTTGAAAATTGGCAGCACAAAGAATTATGTCCTATAAAGACACTTTGCCTTCTGCGAAGTACAATCCAAACTGAACCCACTTTTATCTCAAAGTTCTTCCTCAGAGCTTGATGAGCTCCCCACCCTCTCGTCATCACTCTCAGCTGCCCCCAAACCTGCAGCTGAGTGCCCATCCCTCCACCTCTGCCAATGATTGTCAGGGTTCAGATCCTGCCAAGAGTCCCCTGGTTGCCAATCCCCAGTGAACCCCTCAAATTCCTCACTGGAGGTGGGTTGGTTACAGATATCCCTTATTTGTTGCACACGGGTCCAATCTAATTCCTCCTCCTCTTCCATATCACTCCCAGACCCAGAACTCCTTTCAAACCCAAGGAAATCTTCATCCTCTGTTGGTTCACAAAGTATTTCCCAAATACGTTTCCTTTGTAATTCCCACTCAGACTCTGGCTTGCGAGCAGCCCTTTTTACACCTCTGCTCACTTCCCCATCCGCCATCTCACAATTGGAGAAGCCTGGAAACGTATCAGTATCACTTGGAGCCATAATGATTTCCCTAATGCGCTGACGCTGCTGTTCTCCATCCGACTCCAGAGTAGACCTGTTTTCCCTGCTACCAGGAGTAGCAACTGGACCAACACACTGACCTACAACACTGCCTTTAAGCTCGAGTCTCCTCTGCATATCAAGAGGGAAACCTCTCAGATACAACTTGTTGTAATGTTTGTGTATATTTACAGTTTGTTTTATTCCAGTATTTAATTTTTGCCATATATAGGTTGTGCTCTGCCTTGAGTCCCCTTTTGGGGTGAGAAGGCCACAATATAAATGTGCTAAATAAATAAATAAATAAATAAATAATCAGAATCAGGGGATCTTAAGCCCTGCCTTTAAGCTTGGTGGTCCAAATTTTTTTGTTCATTCGGACAAAAGAACAAAAAAGCTAATTAGGAAAGGCCCCCATTTTCGGAAGCAGCACTTGAAAATGAAAACAGGGCCATACAAATGAAACAAACCAAAACTATTTTATACAAATGCACAAGACTAGTAAAGAAATGTATCATTGGGTGTGTTTCAGATTCTCAAAATGCCAGCCACAGATGCAGGTGAAACATCAGGAGAAAATGCTGATGTAACATGGCCATACAGCCTCTTCACACAATCATAGCAAATGTGTAGAAATCAATACTACTTTCTATAAATCCCCTGCAATGCAAATAAAAGGAACAGGTTACTATTTAGACCCCTTCTACATGGAGATATAGAATTCAGATTATCTGCTTTGATAATATGGGCTATATATCAGTGTAGAAGAGGTTTGAATTCCATATAGAAGTAAACCATTGACATATTGGGTGGAAATTTTTAAGACAAACACAGGAAAAACAGAAAAGTGTTGGGAAGCTTTTAAGACACTTTCATGATCATCTGAAGAATAAATGATTGTGAGCTAGAACAGCAAGGTTATGTTTTGCACTGTGTTTTTAAATATATTTGTACAGTTAAAACCAGTATACATCGACTCAGAAATGCAGAAAGATTCGTTCCAGGAAGACAAAATATTGGAATGTGCCTTCACTAAATGATGAAAAGGGAATATCATATTTTTTCTCTCAGTTCTTGTGGGTTTTTTCGGGCTATATGGCCATGTTCTAGAGGCATTTCTCCTGACGTTTTGCCTGCATCTATGGCAAGCATCCTCTGAGGATGCTTGCCATAGATGCAGGCGAAACATCAGGAGAAATGCCTCTAGAACATGGCCATATAGCCCGAAAAAACCCACAAGAACTGAGTGATTCCGGCCATGAAAGCCTTCGACAATACATCATATTTTTTGTCTCTGTCTCATGCTTTGATGTAACAGTGACAACTATAAGGCAGGTGAGTGTGTTTTGAATTTCAGACCAGAGAAATATATCATTCCCTTTTTTCTAAGCTAACTGAAAAGTATCCTATCAAAATTACAGTATATTTCAGAAATGAGGTAAAATTATTAAATTTTTTGTAAAAGAAAAGTTAAATGTAAAAGTGACTAAGTACTTCTTTGAATTACAGAGTAACTAATTATACCAACTTTCTGTCACCAATTGCAGTACCTTTCTAACTCTGCTTAATCCAGCTATCTATCCACATAAAGAATAAGAAGAACCTCAAATGATCTTGCTGGGAGACCTCGAAACTTCCAGCACATAAGAAATCCAATTAAATCTAATGAAAGGACTATACCAGAGTGTCCAGATTGAAGGCAGTTCGTAATTAGTAGCTCAGTTTATCTACGTACCTCCACAATGAGCTCTCCGTGATACTCCCCAGGTTGTAGTCATACAGCTTTGTCAGAATTAATATCACCTGCAGGCACAAGAAGAAAATCATAGTTAGTCTCTAACAATTAGAATCTCATAGAACTGATATGACCCAGGGGAAGGCTTAGACTGCTGTTAATGGGTGCTTAACATAATTAAATGAATTGCTCAAGCATTTGCTTAACTGATACGGCAAATGTCTGAAGAGACGTCCGCACAAATCAGAATTTTCCCTGCCAGAGTCTGCTGCACGTGTGGCAACTTCTCCCAGGAGACAAGGGGGAAAGAAAGGGCATTTGCTTCAACAGTCAAAGTAAATTAAATAAAGCACTACCACAATGTGGTGTTTATGATAGCATGCCTGGACTTGATGTAGACAACTTGTACAGGTGAAATGTCCTTGAAAGTTTAATGGGTGTGTTTGTTTTTATTCTGAGACTACAAATCCATAGAAATAACTACTTCATACTGAAATAGACCTACAGAACCGTAGATTGAGATTGCTTTGAAGATCTGTTTGATGAGCTACAACAAGACATAGCTATTCTTTCAAATAATGCTCTTGCTATTAATAAATACGTATCCCCTATATTAACAATCTTTCCTCATGTAAACATTTCCAAGCCTTCCATATATAATTCTACCTTCCCCTGAACTATCTTTCTTCTTTGCATTTGTTTCCATTGGGCTACTTCTTCCTTGAAGCGTAGTACTCAGAAACTAACACAAGTCTCCATATAAAGTAAAATTAGTCTAGAAGAAAGTAGTTAGAATGAATGCAGTTTTTCTCCAGCTAGCTCTGCTCGCAAAGGATTTAAGTACACTGGGAAGAACCAAAGTGCTGATGTGATTTGAGTGGTGGTCTAGGATTCTGGGAGGCAAGACTTTGAATCTCTGCTCAGCCATGGAAACCCTATGGATATCCTTAGACAAATCATACCCTTTGAGAGGAAGGGAACAGCCACATTCCTTGGAATAAATCTTGCAAAGAAAACCTTACTATAGTGTCTCCATAAATCGGACTCCACTTGAAGACACATAACCACAACACAACTAAGGAGACAGCTGTTTAAGCTGATAAAAGGAGTGAAAAACTATCTGGATAATGGTGTTCAAGAAAACTGAAATGCTTGGAAAACTGGAAACCAAGCTAAGACAATGGACCTCCATAGACGAAGATACAATGTGTGGTATTCTCTCATATGTACTACAAAATTGAAAGCATGTCCTTCACCTCCTTCACAACCCATGGAAAATTATATTTGCTACTTTTAATAACTAATGACTAAGGGCCCTTCCAAATCCCATATTCCAGAATATCAAGGCAGAATATCCCACAATATTTGCTTTGAACTGGGTTATCTGAGTCCACACTCAGATAATGTGGGATTTCCTGCATTGATATTCTGGGATATAGGGCTGTGTGGAAGGGCCCTAAAAGAAAGTCAAGGGAAGAAAACAGAACACTTAAAATGAGGCAAGTTTGTGACAATTAGGGTATATTTATACAGTAGAGTCTCGCTTATCCAACCTTCACTCATCCAACATTTTGCATTATCCAAAGCAGTCTGCCTCCTGCCTGGATCCACAACTGTTTCAATACATTGCAATTTTTTGTGCTAAATTTGTAAATGCAGCAATTACTACATAAAGTTACCTTGTATTGAACTGCTTTTTCTGTCAATTTGTTGTAAAACATGATGTTTTGGTGCTTATTTTGTAAAATCACTATGTAATTTGACATTTAATAGGCTTTTCCTTAATCCCTCATTATCCAACATTTTCACTTATCCAATGTTCTGCCAGCCCATTTTTGTTGGATAAGTGATACTCTACTGTATGTGTAAATTGACACTTTCTCCTTTTCTTCCTCACTCTCTCCCTTTTCTATCTTTCTCAATTTCTGTGATTACACTTTATTATCAGAATGGATTTCTTTACTCTTCATTTTACTGTTTGCCTAATTCCATTTTTCACTAGCAAAGCTTTATTTTTCTTTAACACTTTTGGTTCCCTCACATTGCTTTTTGTCATCTTTTGAAAGCTGGGGTTCATTTTCTATTATTTAATTTATTCCCAACAATGTTTTGAGCTACTCTTTTGAGATTATTTATTTTGTTAATGAACAGATTTTAATAAATTGTGCAGTTTTATTTTATGTATTATTTTATTTTGTTCTGTACTATTTTACTTTACTTGCTGATGAGGTTCAGGCTTCACTATAAATACTTTTCTAACTATATTTTCCATCTAGGGGTGAAATTTTCATCTCAGTCTCGGCAAACCATTCCACATCTTTTCCTAATTTTTAAGCAAAACTGCTATACCCTTGGAAACACAGTAAACTGTGAGAAGTGCAGCATGGTGAGAGTTTCTAGAGGTGCAAAAAAAAAGTTTCAGCAAAAATTGAAACTCACTCTCTCTCTCTCTCTCTCTCTCTCTCTCTATATATATATATATATATATATATATATATCACTATCGTTGCTAAATATATGCTCTATGGTCTTTTGCTTTCTGTCAGTTTAAGCCTATATATACCCCCCCTTATTGTATGCCATAAATTCCAACTAAATGTTTATAATCAATTTCACTTAAGAGCTGTCTCTGATTTTCTTGATGTAACCTCCTACCTCATAAATATTGAAAGAACAAGGTTTTTTTTATTTTAAAACTTACAGTTCTATTAATGGTTTTAAAAAACATATTAGCCATTTTCTCCTGCTGACTCTCATAGTGTGGTTATACTTTCACCTGAACTGCTGCAAATTGCCAAGTGATATGCCATATCTGTGGGTTTGATCTCTCATCCTTAGCTAAAGAACTTGAGATTTGCCTTCTCTATTGAATTTAATTTTGTTTGTTTCATTGCAGTTTTCCATTCTGTGTGACTACCACATAGATAAAATTATAAGAGAATACTTGATCCACAACAAATCCCTGCAATTATGTACTACCTCATCAGACAGGGTACTTTCCCCATCATACGCTGCTTGTTCTCCCTTTTCAAGACAGAGCCCATTACACGACATACGTGTAGTTCTGGTTGGCTCTATCCATAAAGAGGAGAGCAAGCAGCATGTGCCACCGCCACGGCAACATGGGAACTTCCTGTGTTGTCTTACAGGATGGGGGGAAGCCAATCAGCAGTGTTTTCCCCATGGAATGGGGGTCTCTGTAAGTCATGGAATGCAGGATTTGGAGCAATGGGTTCTCCACACCCCCTTCTGGGAGCCTATGATGCATGGCAAATCCATGAGACTTTGTGATGCGGTCTGTATTGGAAACTTCTTTCCACTCTGAAGAGAAACCATGTTCAATATGGCATCCCATTTTTGAAAAACTACCCAGTGAGACTCATGTATAGCAAAGCATTCCCTCACCAGGATGTCAAAGCATTTTTCAAATTACAATACTTTAGATCTATAGCATTCTATCACAATTATATAGTACTGAATCCAAACAACCTTGATGCTATCAGAGAACCTTTCTAGAATTACACTAAAGGTATTTGACTGTTTTTCCATACATGTTTACAGAGATTATGTGAATTTACAGAGCTTTTGTACCACCACCCTAAAATTCCTTACCATTGGCTCAAGGTGTTGGGACTTGGAGTATAACAAACTTTGGAAGCCACATACTTCCCATGCTTCATATTGAGAAGACTCCAAGAAAAGTGAGCTGTGCAGGACACTTTGCCACATGGTTCTGGTGGATTTCACCATGCCACTGTGAAACAACCACTTACAAAGCACTGACATAGAAGATAGGACAGTAGTGCACCTGAAACTATGGATATACTTTAAGTAATCACTTGGATGGAGTTTTGCTAAGCTGCTTTGCAGGTTAACAGGTTCAGTTGCTGACAGGGCCCTTAATTCCTGCTACAGATGGATGTGAGACCTGGCACATTGCTAGCTTGACTTCATTATTTAGTTTACTACAGTCTTGTATCAGGAGAGCAACTACCAGAAATGCTTTATGTGCAAATGCCCCTCCCTTCCCCTTTTCGTAGCAGGGGATTTATAGGCCTATTCAGGGAGCAGAGCAGCAACATAATTCTGTATCTTCAACAAACAGCCGCCCTGCCGCCACTGATAAGCTTTCCTAGGAGGGTGGTGATTGAAATGTAGCACTTTCCAAGCCTTAATTGGCACATGCGTTAGTCAGGCATATGCACTCGCTGTGGGAACACCAGATGACAGGGTGGCAAGCAGCCTGACACCTAGCACAAGTTAAGTTTTCTTTAAAGAAGCAAAATTAAAATGGGAGTGAGTCATCAACTTTTAGGATATCAGGCTTTGGGAAAATGGAGAGTACAAATACTGGGGATCTTCACTTGCTATTAGCACTTTATCTCTGCTGTGTTCGACCACACATTTGGCACCGCATTGCTTCAGCTGCTGTTATGCCAATAAACCCATGCAAGCCAATCATTTCTTATGATTTATATGCCCCACCACATGGTTCCCATGAGCAGTTTGCAGACAAAAGAAGCAACAGGACTCAATTCATCATAAACCCAAGTAAGAAAAGCTAAAAGTACTAGAACTACTGCACTAATTTAACTAGTTCAAAATAAACATTGAAACACCAGCTAGTACATCACTTTATGCAAACAAATTCAAGTTATGATCTCAAAAAGAGTTTGGTGGAAAGGAAAATCCAATGATGGGGTTAAAGCTATTTGGATTGAGGTTTTAGTGCCTTTCAAGGCTCAAGTTCATGAATCTCAAGACTTGAAAGGCAGTGGGTACAATCCTAGATTCAGTGTTCTACTCAGTGTACAGCAAACACTCCACATTCACTGGGGTTAAGCATACAGGGCCCTCATGAATGTGAAATAAATGGATAAAGAAATTGCTATTTTTAACCTTAGAGAACATATCTCTAGGAATGTCTAGGTCTCCCAGCACAACTCTATGATCAACGACAATTGGAAGCTGAATGTAGAATTGCATTGGAGGATGCAATATGTTCTTTCTAGAAATCCCCATGTCTTCCCACATGACTGGAGGAAGTTGACCATAAAATCACACTGTA